ATTACATAGTTTGAATTGGGGTATTGGTTTTTCTTGGTGGCAAGAACAAATGAAGGGAGGAAAATTTGTTATTCAGGGGAGTAAGCATTACTGAACTATGCCTAGCTGTCCGGTTGAATTCAATAACGGTATTCAGGGTGTATAGAGAATCTTCAGGTATATAATTATAGTGTTTCTCGTTCCATTTTTCAGTGCTCAAGGTTAAATATTCAATTTTGAATGTGAGGGATAGTGTGTTTCATGTAGGTTCAAATCATTTCTGACTATCAAACTTTTTTATTTTGATCTTCAAGTAATATGAGAAATATTTACTTCAGTTCCCTATGAGTGTTTCTAAACTGAATCCTGCTGTCCATGGCAAACATATAGATATCGAAAGTTCTTTTCAACATGGATCCAAGAATAATTCATCGGGAGAGCTATATCGTGTCACTGAGAATGGTTTTCAAGTTCAATGGATTCAACCAAAGTTGACAAAATATATATTGAATAAATCAACAAGAAGTTGTTGCCAAGAGACTATTATCATTCCAATTATCCAGTGGAGTAATCACTTGTCGACTATTGACTGAAATGCACCTTTTCATCTCATCATAGCAAAACTAATAGGTATATATGTTTCATTTAATAGATCTCGTTTGAGTTGAGACAAAATTGTTAGCAAAAAAATTTCGAAAACAAATATTCATATTGGGAAAAGAAAATATATTATTCTCGTGTAGAACTTGGACTACTTTCATGATAGGAGTTTCTGCTTCAGTCTCAAAGAGAAAAAACTGTTTTTTTTTGTCCAGATCCTCTAGATACTTTTTTTGTAGTTTAGTTGCTAATTTGATCAAATTTTCATCCTCTGTGGACACTATCTTGAATAGAAAGTCAAATGATTCTGAACAGCATTTGTAAGTGGAAGTCCGACGAAAAATTTCAAATCTGCAACTCGAAATAGAACACTGTATCCGCCATTTTTTTCTCTGGTTTGAACTTTTTGCCATATTCTTTCTCCTAATTGTGCTTTTCTGGGAATGATTCACTTCTCAACATGAATTTAGTGATCAAATATTTCACGTAAAAAATCAAAATATTCAGATAATGACTGATGACAAAAGATGTGCAGTTTTATTTTCATATAGCCGCCCTGAAGATTTTGTCGCCTGGTGCTATAGCACCCAAAAGACCCCTGGTAAACCCGGCACTGGTTGTGATAGTTAACCAACCACACAAACCAGCTCACTGAGGTAGTTAACGGAGTAGTTAAGGCTTTTAATTGGGTACTGGATTGGGCTCTTGTTGTTGTTATAATCTAAGGTTTGATTGATAGGAAAAAATGATTATACTTCTCATCATATCAGCGATGGAAATAAATATTTGTTTAATTGTAAAAATGTGATGATATGTACGTAGCGAGTTGTTACAATTTTATTGAATTTGAAGTGAGTTATACTTTTGTTAAAGATGATGAATTTCTCTGAATTTCTTCACACAATATATATTAGTATTCCTACTAAAACCAAACAATGAACAAAAACAACTGATAAACTGACATCTGACAACCTCCGTATCCGGATCGGAAGAAAAATGCCTTGAATATTTGGTAAATATCCATCGGGCAATCGGCAACTACGCTCTTCTCTGTCTGACTATGAGATAATAGATGTGAAGCAATGTAGCCACGTTTCACATTGAAGTCGCCATTGAATCTCTCTTGATGACTGGTGGGAATTGATATAATATAATGCTTACGTCTCTTACACTCATGCACCTCTATTACCTGTATAAATAATTATCCAATTTGGAATAGAGCAAACTAATAATCGTTCCTCATTTTGGAGGGCAATGAAACATTATTTGTGAATTTCAATATAGGCAGACATTGTTGATATTAGTCTCACAGAAATAATCAAATGGTCAGAAATTAAGTATTCTTCAGGAGCATTCAGAATCTATCAGACTAGAAGATGCAAAAAAGTATCGTGAACTTGAAAATTCTACATTATCTGGTATTTTTCTGATGTAACTCATAAATCATTATGTATAATGAAGCATATGAATATATATGCTCTATTGATTTATATCGGGGGCACTATCGATTAGAAAAGAAAAATGCAGGGTGTGTCGGTTCTAAATTATCAGATTACGTGAAAATTTCAGGTTTACGATGCTATTTTGCATTTTCTAGTAATAGATTCTGGATGCTCATGAAAAATACTTCATTTTTGTCCATCTGAACGTTCCTGTAAGACCAATATTATTAGGCCAGTCATTGGGGATTTTTACCTGGAAAAAAGTCCGGAAGTTTTGAAACTTTGTAGGATTATAGTTTTGGGTGTCCAGAACTAGAATTCACAAAATGCACATTCCGGGACATGCCGCCGGCGCCGCCATCTTGCCAAGATGGCGCTCAAAAACGGTTTTTTGAAATATCTCCAAAACGGTGCGTTTTTAGAAAAAATATGAAGACATAAAAATTCAAGACGAAGAAATTTTCTACAAGAAATGTTCTCAGTATATTTTTGCTGAAGTGAGCCGTTTAGGCCCAAGAGCTGATTGAATGACATCATATTCCGTTAATTTCAATAACCTGCCCCTAACTATCTCCAAATATGCGTATAAATTTATCTTTTATAATGAAACGGGCTATCTGATTGGTTTCTCGTTATATTTATAGCTTGCTGACAGAGGATATTTTCTATAAAATATGTTCCTAGAATATTCTCGCTAAAGTACCCTCGTTAAGGCACAAGTGCCCTTACCAAATTACAAATGTTGCGTAAGTCTTCTGTAGTGGCGAGTTTCGGAAATAATATGTGTATTAGGGATCCCCAAATCTGATATTTAACGACTTTAAAAATATTTATCACGAAACGGTGGATATCCATTATTCAATTAATCGATGAATTCATCAATTAATCCATGTTAATAATTTATGATCAATCAATTTCGATTTTAAATGCTGTACTTGTTTCCACACCACCCAAGAGGCTAAGTACACGGCGCGTTTTTTTAACGTGGTTTCCCCTGTAGTCCTAATCCACTCAGGTACTGAAATTATTTTTGGCAAAGGCCAGACGGACCTGGCTCGTTGATTTCGATATATTCAACGGGGAAACTGGTTACCTCAGCTCCAGAATCGATGTTAATTTCCTTCAACTCGTCGGATTCTTCTTCTGCAGGCGATTAAGAATCATCATGCAGCGAATGGAGGTCTTCTTCATCGTAATCGTCCAGTGTCACTTGGCTGATATTTTCACAAGTTTTCCCGAAATCATCGAACATCGAAATCCTGCTTTCCTGCATCCGCAGGCTCTACCACAAGCCGCCTTGCACTTACTAGATAAAAAAGCAAGTAGTGCTTTGAAAGCAGGATCTTTCAAAGTAGTTATTGCCAGTTTGTGTTTTCTTCCAACCCCATTCTTCAACTACTTTCGGACAACCACGCCATAGTTGAGGCAACTTGATCAGGGGTGGCATGTTCATTTTTAAAAACTTTAATATGATCTTGTAACTCTTTATGTTTTTCTAATGTTGTTAGAAACTTCATTTTTCCTTGGTTAAATACGCTCTCGCAATTTTTTCATGTCCGTTTTTCTCGTAAAATTACTGATTGGCAAATTGTGTTCGTTAGGAAAAGTAATTTAGTTGATGAAAAAGTTTTTGTGTTTTTACCGTTTATAAAAATATCTCATCTGAATTATATATTTTGTGTATTTACTCACATTGGGATGGAGTGGTAAAGACAAGAAAGCAAAATTTCAAATTTCTATGAATTTATGGGCGGTTTTAGAGTACGAGAAGGTACCTATATCTACGGATACATAGTATAGGTACGAAATTTACTCATAACCATCCTGCACCCACATACTTCTGGAGCAAAGTCGCCAGATTCGTCGATAATGCAATTTTTATATTGCCCAAATAATCGCAAGTCACAAATGCAAAATTTTTGTCGCATAATTATTGATCTATAAAAATCGTCCAATATAACGAGGAACAAATTGAATTGCCCGTTTTATTATGGAATATGAATTTTTACGCATATATGGAGATAGTTAGGGGCAGTTTATAGAAATTAACAGAATATGTTGTCATTCAATCAGCTCTTGAGCCTAAACGGCTCTCTTTAGCAGAAATATGCTCAAAACATTTCTTGTAGAAAATTTCTTCATCTTAAATTTTTATGTCTTCATATTTTTTCTAAAAACGCACCGTTTTGGAGATATTTTCAAAAAACTGTTTTTGAGCGCCATCTTGGCAAGATGGCGGCGCCGGCGGCATGTCCTGGAATGTGCATTTTGTGAATTTTAGTTCTGGACACCCAAAACTATAATCCTACAAAGTTTCAAAACTTCCGGACTTTTTTCCAGGTAAGCCTTATTTGGGATCCCCAATGACTGAACTATATACCTGGGATGGGCATTGAGTAGAATATGAACAATCACCCTGAGTCGTGAAATCATCAGTAGTTATGATTGGTAAATTTCGACCGTTTTGAATAAGAATGTGACTTCATTCGTAATTTCGAGATCTTGACACGATTAAGAAAAAAAAAACGAAACGCGATATAATTAAGAGCATCAATGTGGAAATGAAAATTCAGTCCACTTGGTCATCACTGAAACAGATATAACGAATAGCATGGGCTTCCAAAAACTGTTGTTATTCAATATCGACATCGTTCAATTCTTAGAACATCTGATCAAACATGAAACCCTCACAGATTGTGAGATTGTGTGAATTCATGTTAATATTCATTGAATAAGGTCTGAAGAATCAGATCAATCAAAGTACAAGGTAACGGCAGAGTCAATTCAAAATCTGAAAACAATTTGTTCATTATCGCAATAACAGAAACATTTTATAACATATACGATCATATTAGAAGTTTTTCATGTTCTCAATATTTATATGAAATTTTAACTATCATGAAACTCGATGATTGTTCGTTTTTTTAGATCTTAGTTGCATGTTACATTGAGATAGATCTAAGTTAAAACATGTTTCAGGTATCCAACAACAACCATCTCCACCTCCACCTAACCAACATCTAGATTCCACAAGGATTTACACTGAATCTGATCTACTAGACGTGATGAAATGTGTTCCCTTCCCAACTTTCAGTATGAAAGGAGTGTTCAGTAAAAAAGTGAATAGGAATAAGCGAAAAGAAACCAAGATATACAAACCCCCTGGTATAAAAGTGACGTACCATCGGGACAGAAACAAGGAGCTGGTCAAAATTTTGAGATGTACGAAATGTGGTGGTTTCATCAAAAAGACTAAGAAAGAATGCCTCAAATGCTTACTTGGAAACAAACCAAAGTACATGAAGAAAACACGAACAAAATCTGAGAACGACCGGGCAGGTGAACAACCCATATCCTCATTCCAAGTGGATATGTCATCACCTAAAGCTACTGACTCAAAGACTCTGATTCAACAAGATAAAGTGATAGTGACACCCATGAAACCGCTGATGAAAAAGCATAAAATAATAGTTAGGTTGCGTCCTCTGAATGATCCAGAAGTAGTTCAAAACAAGCAGTTGCTACACATAAAGACTACTGAGCCTATGCGTATTGATGAAAATAGAGAATCTGATAGTCAGATCGTGAATGATTCACTCGATTCTAAATCAGTGTTCTTCGATTATTTGAACTTGAATAAAAAAGCTGAGAATAATTGCGTACTGATGAATCAGGACACCATAAATGAGAAATTGGAGTTGGCTCTTCATGACGAACCACACTTGAAGGATGAAGACAGTATATCCCATTTCTTGAATAACCCTAATATCGAAATTGTGGAGGATTGAAGAGGCTAATTTTTCCCAGAACATAGACAAATCATAGTTAATATACAGTGAAGCATACCTCAGTTGTTTATTGTTAGTTATAAGTGTACAGTGCATCCTATTTCGGTTGAGACTGGCAGGTTTTTGCTTGGTCTCAAAGATAGAACCTTGCGGTGGGGATACACTATACCGACAAGATGACATGTATATTCATATTCCGTTTGTCCATCATTTCTCACTCATTTATATAGAGTAACATGTGAATAAAAATAGCATTCTCGATATTCATCCATTTTGTTTTACTCAAATTACACTCTCGATGTGGCTTACTGAATTGGATAGATCAGACCCCTTCTTCTGCTATAAAAGACAACCCTCTTGGTGAGTTTGAATCGTCAATGGATCAACTCCAGCATAATAAAATAAACAATTTGTGTAAGTTGATAACACATGATAGGAATATACATTCAACAGAGAAAATTAATTGTAGAAGACGTTGAATTTGATCATGAGGTGAATTAATACCTGTTCACTCAGGGTATGTGCGTGACTATAAACATAGGCCATGTTTTTCGTGTCTTGGTTAGCTGACTATTGACTTAATTGCAACTGAAAACTTTTGGTCGGAGTGGTATTTGGACTGTACATTTGGTAACTTTGCCACCTTGATAATTTGTTGCATTCGAAACTGAAATATAGTATGATGACTAAGACATTTCGACGGTCATCTTACGTAGTGACGTATCTCAGTTTTCTTAATTTTACAGCAGAGCAGTTCAAAGATTTTTAACATCTTAATACGCTTATATCTCAGAGGTTAGTTCGTGAAAGATCATTCTTTTTTCATTCATTAATGGAAGAACTAGAATTAGTTGTTATATGATATGGTGAGATTTTCAAAAACCATCGCCCGAAGCGAAAAAAAAAAAGTTTGTTAGATACGTCACTACGTGAGATCATGTTATTGTGGTCTTAGATACGCCCATGAATATGAAGTTAAATCAAATGAATAACAGATCCAAACATTCATTTTTATTGATAAAAACATAAAAATTCATTCGACTTGTACAATAAACCTTACAATACTCCTTTCAGTAACTTGAGACGTCACCCGAGATATTTTAAATTCCGCCGAAAACCCGATGTGAGATACGTCATTGTTGAGATTTTCAACAAATAATAAAAATATATCTCACGTAATGACGTAACTCCTATAGTTAGGTCACTTCGTGAGATTTGGTAGTTCAATAATTTGAGATAGGCTGAGTATTCGATATTTAAACAGATGAAAACTATTGAATATTGAGGTACGCCACTTTGTGCGATCATAGAGTACAAGAATATGAGTCACTTGACGAAGTATCTCAAATTCCGATTTTTATGAGATACGTCATTACGTGAGATGACCCACGATATGTGCACAGTGTAAACACTTCAGACTGATGCTTTGATACTTTATTGACTTGACTGAACAGCAGGTTTCTGTTGTTTGATTATTCTTTTTTCCACCACTAGCTAAGGTGTGTTTTTACTACCAAGGTAGTTTTCGTCATTTTATGAACCAAAGGCATAGCCACCTCTATTGTAATCAATCCGAATGCACTGTTCTGATCAGAGATTCACTGAAATGGTATACTCAAATCTAGGAGGTATTTAGGTATTTATCAATAACGGCTTGTATGCTGTCATGGTGCATGGCTAAGTATCTAAGATAAGTGCTTTTATAGACAATATGTCCATATTTCGGTTTCACAGAACTAAAATGGAAATATATTGCTAATGTTAAGAAAAATCAATATAAACCTTGGTAGTATCCCGTCGGCTATAAAGCCGCGGGATATAAGTTATCTTGGTCCCTGGGTGAATGATATTCCTTGCTACCTCTTGGTGTATGAATAACTATTGTGCTGGTTTTGAATACTGATATAAGGTTATATTATATTATTCGACGAGCGCATAATGATGGCTATTACTCACGAAGATGAAAGTTGCAGTACGAGCCGAAGGCGAGTGCTGTTATCATCTGAGTTGGTAATAGTCATTATGTGCGAGTAGAATACTACTTACTTCATCTACAACTATTCAAATATCAAAGCAACTCTGAGAGTTCTGTGATATATTTTTGGAAATAATGGAAGTTATTATATTGCAAAATCACTAAATCTGATTCGAAATACTCATTTATTCCTTCGAAAACTTATTGACAGAAATGTCAATCAATGAACAGCTCATAACGTTCTACTCAGATGGCGTTACTTTCATTTTATCGATGAAAGACGCCTCGGGGTGGATATAATGCCAACTTGATTTTTGTTTGGCTAGGCTTCGCTGAGTCGGCGGTCTAAGGACTGCTGGCTGGAGACTACACTGAACTGATGAGAGTCAAAGAGCTCGAAATCGGTCTGTTGTTGTCTAGCGGCCTGGATTAATCGAAATCAATAGGCATTCAGGAAAGAATCACTTGTATCAGTATTCGTTTATTCGAGTCGATGCTTAGATTTCGGTAGGATGTAATTCAATATCCTGCTTGGCATTAGCCAGGGAAGTAGTTGTTTTTCTCCCTAAATCTACCATTGTTGTTCATTATATGAACACTGTGTCACTGTGTGGAAATGACTTTGAGATTTTCACATTTATTTAGCTCATAACGTATTTCAATAATTTCGATTGTGAAAATATGATAAACAATGCTATTGGATCTAACTTTTATTAACAGAAAAAAAATCGTGCAATCACATATCAGTCAATCTTACAAGGTATTATATGCCATTTCAGTCTTCACTTGTGAAATGAATCCATACTACTGCAGATTATTCATTAACTTGCTTTTGCTGTGACATTTCCCCACCGCGATGATTAAATGTAGAACCCTGTCTCTAGACGCTAGTTATCAACAATGAAGTTCCATGGTTCTGATTGGTCTGTACTAATCTATTCGAATAGCCCGCACATAAGTGTGAGCCAATGTGCAACTGTCAAGTGTCAAGTCCTATTTTATGGTTATGGTTACTCATGATGGTAAACACTGTTGAGAATGAAAAGCAGTGAATTCTCATTTTTCCGTGTATTTGTAGAATTGAGGTGATTAAAACTATGAGAACCATGTAAGGTGAGTATTTTGAATTTGCGTGTATTTCACAAACAGTAGTATAGTGGTGTGTTTTAGTAGAACTAGTAGAACAAATACCTACCTAGTTGAATTCGACAAGACGATGGGATGTTAGATTATTACGCCGTTCTATTGTCATCATTACTCTTATTACTCGATTCATCACAATAATGTCTGTCATTAAATGTTGAAAATCTAGTTAGCAATGTATGAATGACTTTCACGTTTTCAAGGATAGTTTCGCACACTAACCTCAGATAATCTAATCATGACCAAGTTGGCGACATATGTCAACTAAAGAGATACGTTCTGTGAAGAAATAAAGTATATTATGAGCATGTATTAATTTGTATATATATGCTAATTCGATTTTATTGTTTGTTCTAGACCAGCCTCAAATCTGCTCAACATGTAGCAAGGTTTACAAAAATTTCAACTCTCTCAGAAAACACCAACGAATCAATTGCCAAAAGGAACCGCAGTTTGCATGTACTTTTTGCACTTATAAATCGAAAGTAATGTGTAATCTACGGAGACATCTGCTTCTCAAACATAGAACCTTTGCATACAAGTAGTATAGGTTCATATATTCGTTGTAAGAATGTGCAAAATCTATTTGGTGTTTCTGTTTATATAATGAAAAAATATAAAATTACTAGCTGACCCGCGGCAAACGTTGTTTTGCTGTATACATTATTCCTGTTGAATATTTTTTTGTTGAATATTCAACAACCATAAGAACTCCTATTCATTTTCTACACTTTTTTATTCCACTATCTATTGAAACGTGTTTCATTAGTTTGTGTAAACACTATTTCAGTGCTTGTTCGCCATGTTGAATCCGCCATCTTGGGTTTTTTAATTATGACGAATGAATAATGATATCCGACCCAGAAAATCCCCTGATTATAATTTCAAATAGAATCGGATCATATTAACAAAGCTCGTTCGTCATATTGAATTCGTTATCTTGAATTTTCTAAAACTGACGGAGAAATCATAATATTCGACCCCGAAAACCCGCAGATATCTACCAATTTTGAATAGTATCGGATCATAATCAAGAACTCGTGCGCCATATTGGATCTGTCATCTCGAATTCATCAAATTTGACTATAGAATCATAATCTCCCAACCCAAAAATTCTCACATGATAATTTTGAACAGAATAGGATCATAATGGGCGTGTACACCTTAGTAGAACTTTGAACTCAAACCATGTTTATAATGATCCTTCTATACATAAATAATGATTGACGACATAATTCGATCGAAAAATTAACTGGAATGTTTTATTTTTGGACATATATAATAGTACCTTCTGGAAACGGGCTCTCTTATGACGTAGAAAGCTCATCTCGCCATAGTTACAAGAAAATACCATACGGCCGACGGAGACTGAGGCAGCTGATATAGTAATTCTTTCAACTGTGATCTCGCGCTATTTCACTCTGTCAGAAATCATGTATCATTCATATCTATCTGGAATAGTCTTGTTTCAGTATTAGGGTTTTGACGTCACATCATCGCCTCGTTTTCAGAGGTCCGAAAAATCGGGGATTTCAATAATTTTTTATAAAACTTAGGGAGCTCACAGAGAGAAACGGTTTGCGGTGGTGACCTAGTTTGGGTGATTTCTATCGAATTATGAAATAAATTTTTTTTGTGATATAAGCCCATTACATAAGTCGTTCGCCATATTGTATCCACCATCTTGAATTTGCACATTTCGAGGAAAGAATCATAATATCCGACCCCAAAAACCCCTAGATACCAATTTTGAATAGAATCGGAACATAATCACAGAACACGTTCGCTATATTGGATCCGTCATCTTAAATCGACAATGATCTGATCACAATTACAAAAGTCGTATGCCATATTGGATCCGCCATCTTTAATTTCCCAATAATATCCGACCCCGAGAACTCTTATGTTGAGACAAAATATGGGTTCAAGAGGCTTGGACCACAACATTGACAAATTTATGATTCAGTAACTGATGGATTGAGCATGCAAGTCATCTTTAGTTGATTGCCAATAAATGTTGATGTACCGGGTGAGTAGAATCAGAGTAGATGCTTGGGGATCTCGGAAACGGTAAGAAGCACAAAGAGGGTTCAATAGATGCAAAGTTGCAAAATCTTATGACTATACCAAAATTCTGTTTCAAAATTCG